GCTGACTTCCTTGAATAAGACGCCCTTCAGTTTTTAGGGTAAGGATTTTAGAAAAAGTATCGTCTTATAGTCGGAAAAATACTGTAAGTGTCCTTTCTAATGAGTTCCAGCAATCAGTACTATAACTTTAAATTATTTCTATTCTAGTTATTGGAAGAAGAGAATCCAGATTGAACCTAAAATTGAGTTAGCATTGGATTTCTTATCTGTTAGGTGATACCATCTTCCCTTACATTAAGACATTAATATTTATTATCTCAAATCCATACTTAAAGTTCATTTTAGAAATTGGGAAAAAGTAAAAACAGTCTTCAGAACCTCACCACTCTCCTCTTCTCCCATTAATCAAGCGTATTCATTTAAGTACAAGGATAAATGTGTTCAATACAAGGATCAGGATTTTATAGAATTAAAAATATTCTATAATATTTAAAGTATGAAGTGATCAATATCAATTGGGGATTGATATTGACCAAAGTGGTCAATATCAGTCCCCAAGGATCAATGGAACTATCCATTATTTTTGTTGTTATTATTATTGATATTCGTAGTACTATTAGTTAAAATAGTGTTTATTAAATTATTTTCATATAATAAATGTTTGGGGGTCAATGAACAATCTGAAACTTCATGAAAGGGTCAGTGAGCTGAAGAATTTGGGGACCCCTGTTCTAAACATTTGAAATAAATATTTGGGATGTTAATAATGAACCCCTTTGTGCCTTGGAATTGCTCTTACATCTGTCTCAATAATAATCAAGAACTGACCATGGAGAAAATCCACAGGTGGCACTCCTCTAAAATTATATTACAGTACAATCTTAGTTTAATGAACAGTGAACATATTTTTCATTCAGTCTTTGCTCACTTTTAACAGAATAATGTTCATTAAATCAAATCCCAAATATATAATTGTGTACAAAAGGGCAAAAACAACTCTTGTTCAACACTGAAACAAAACAGTCCTGCTTGTAATGTTTCAAGTTGTGGGTTGTGTCCTATTGAAAAAAAAATCATAGGAAATCCTGCCTGCTATAAGGAATAATGGATCTCTAAATAAGTCTGTGCTACCTCCTTTTTTTAATCCTAGAGCTATAAAAGTAGGTTGAATAGTAGTGGTATTCATAGTGGTACAACAAGAAGATTCTTGTAATAAAAAATGGAGGGAACACTAAACTGCTTTTTGCAGGTGGCTTGCCTATATAAATAGCAATAAACTGAGCCCAGCAAAGAAACAACAACAATATCTTTGCTTCAGTAACATAGCCTATGAATAAAAACACACTTCTCTAATGAAAAACTAATATCAAGGCAACACTGTTCTTTGCAAGGGTATAAAGAAAAAATTAGGAGTAATACAAAAATGTAATTTTAATATTACAGTCAAAAAGAAGTTAATGGAAAGAGAAAAGAAACATGGCCATATTTATAGGTAAAAATAATAAAATAGTGAAAATGAGATACTAGAAATCTTAAATGGATAAAAGAAGATGAACAGGAGCTATCACACCTGGATAAAAGAATGAACGAAGGTTTTGAATGAACATGTTTTGAATGTTTCAGTGACCTATAGGTCAGAAAGATGCTGCAGCAAAAAATAGACACAATATAAAGAGCTATGGAAGTATGTATTTTAATTTTATATAGTTTTTTTTTTTTCTTATTAACTGAAAAGCTATCAATATCGTATCCTAATAGTGTGCCTTAAAAATATTGTTCAGGCTTGATGAACATTTCCTTTACATGTTAAAGTAATTGTTTTCATTTGGTTTAAAAAGTGTTCTAGAGATGCATGTTGAATTGATATAATTACTGCACTGGGTCCTGAAGACTGGAAAAATGTAATCTAGCTTTCCTTTGTTATTTAAGTTACTTACCTTTACATTACATTAACCCCCAGAAATTATGTAGATCCATTATGTAGTTACAAAACTCCATATGAACCATGTTTAATCACTGTATAGTTTTCTTTGTGGTTAGAAGAAACCTTTCAGTATCATTTTTAATTCTTATTAGATGACTGAGGCTTTGTATTATATGTGACTATAGGTATAAATGGCCAATAATTATAATCCATTCCTGCACTGGAAAAAAAGGTGATTTTGTTCAAGAAAATATATTTTATGCCTAAAACTGAATTCCCCCCACCCAAAGAAATATATCTAAAACAATCAGACATGATTACATATTATCACATTCTATATTGTTTTCCTTCATTTACAGATTTAAGATTGATATCTTTATAAGCCACAATTCTCTGCTGATGCTAATTTTTGTCAGATTCTCTTCCTCACATTGTTGAAATACTTACAGTTAGCTAAATAGATGTTCTTGTTTTTACTTCTGTTATGAGGATTCAAAACTGAAGTATAGAAATTGCTGAATAATGATGTCTTTATATGATTATTCTTATTAATAATATTATTAACCCTTTTTATTTCACCTTTCTACCCAGAAGAGATTCTCTACAATTGCTTGTTTTCATAGTACGAGTAACTAATTTCATTGTGTAATCATTAATTATTGCAAATGATCCCTCCAAAGGATTTTACACAAAATGTTAAATAACACAGTGAAGCACCATATGCTTTTGTCCATGTGACTGAATATGAGTACTCCAATATTACCTTCTGAAACTAACTCTGAGGAAAGACTGAAAGAATGATTAAATAGTACCTCCCAAGCCAATTCTTACCAGTAAGTCCAGAAGGACACCATGGACAATAGTATTAAATGCCCGTGAGAGGTCCAGTAGGACACCTAGGGACATACTTTTCTTTTCTAGTTCCCAGGTAGCCAACATTGTCTCAGTCCCAAATCTATGATGACCAAAACAATCTGAATCCTAAACCAGGTTGAAATGGGGTTGGATAATATTTCTGGTCTAAGAACCCAAAAGCAAAATGTCACCACATGCTTAAGAGACTTGGCTAGGAATGCCATATTGAGAACCAATAAGAAATTGGTCTCATTGGATAGAGAGAGAAGTAAAGAGCATACAGGCAGGATTTTTTTCACTTGAAGTTTCATAATAGCCTGTTATGACCTGTACCCACATGACCAGGGTTCCCCTGATTGCCTTAATCAGGCAGAAATTGTGTGGGTCAGACATGCATGTGGCTGATCATATGCTGTTGAGAATCTTGCTCATGAATAGAAACTTATCAAAACACAAGAAGAAGCAGACACAAGTACACAAACACAAGTACCTCATTTTAATTAGAATTAATATAGATTAAGGCAGTTGAAGCTAACTTGCTTAATTTTGTTCAGTGGGACTAAAGTGTAACTAACATCAGATGGGGGGACGCGGTGGCGCAGCGGCTTAATGACGCTGAAAGTTGCC